CAAATTTTAGTGTGATGTAGTCTCCTTTTGTTTTGTTTTGATTGACTGTTTTTAGTGTTAAATCCAAGGAACCATTGTCAAGATCAATGCCATGAAGCTTCCCCATTTTCTTCTATAACTTTTATAGTTTCAGGTGTGTATGGTATAAGAAGAGGGTCTCATTTTATTGTTTTGTATATGGCTATCCAGTTTTCCCAAACTATTAGTTGATAAGACTATTCTTTATGTTTATTCTTCAAAGATGAGTGAATTACATGTGCATTGGTTTACATCTGGGCTTTCTATTCTATTCTATTCTATTGGTCTACATGTCTATTTATATGCCAGTACAATACTGTTTTGATTGCTGTAGCTTTGTAATATATTTTGGTACTAAATAAATAAGAGTAATGCCTCCAGCTTTGTTCTTTTTCAAGATTACTTTGTCTGTTTGCGGTCTTCCATGGTTCCATATGCATTTTAGTTTTTTTTTTTCTATTTTTGTGAAAAACCTCATTAGGATATTTATAGGGATTACATTGAATCTGTAGATCACTTTAGGTGGTATGGCCATTTTACTAATGTTAAGCCTTTCATTCCAAGAGCAAGCGATATTTGTTTGTATCTTCTTTAATTATTTTCATTTATATTAATGTTTTATCATTTTTAATGTACAAGTATCTATCTCCTTAGTTAGATTTATTCCTAGAGTGAAAATTCAAACTACAGAAGGAAAGAAAATATTTGCAGACCATATTCTGATAAAAGACTATTATTTGCTTGTCCTATCTAATGAAATCAGGTATGCTACAAAGAGAGAAAATCAAACTCAAAAGCCAATATTCAAAAGGAAGAAATAAAAATTATTTACACAAATAGGTACCAAAAATTTAGAACAATCAACTAGGGCAGGGTAGTGCTCTTGGGTTGGTGACAGTGGGTGTGATAGTATTCCCAGGTCTAAAGGGCATGGTAGGAAGTGTCTATAGGAGAAGCTGTGGCTGGTTAGCTGAATCCAATTGGAAGGCCAAGCAAAGGAGCCCCTTATAGTAGTCGGTGAAGCAGGGTGAAAAAGGATGGAGAGTGGTTCTGGGGGACCAATGAAAGGTATCTTCATATCCTCTACAACTTAATATGGAAAGCTCCTGGATTTTTTTCCTCTGAGCATATTCTGTTGAGCTTGGCCTCACCTTCTGAATACTTCATTCTAAGAATGAAGACACATATGGATTGACCTGGATAAAACCATTACCTCACAGATAAAGGTCATGGCTGAACACTGACTTGGGTGCAGACATTGAGACATTATGAAGAGTCCAAGTGAATGATTGACTGGGTGATGGGTTATTAACCACATGCAAATATGGCTTTACCTCAAATACATGACAAGCTAGGACTAATATGAAAATAGTGTACTAGAACGATTACTAAAGTATATTGGTGGCTGGAAAAGTGCAGAAGCCAGAGTGTACACCCTTCTACCTGGAGGCTACCTCACATTTCACAACACATTTCTTGTGAGAAATGTCATCAAGCACATTAAATATCTCTCTGGCTTGACCTGAGATATTCAAGTATCTGCTGCATGAAGCTGAAACATCAAGTGTGTGCTGGTGTGTGTGTGGGATGCCATCCTGAAGGCACCTACACACACTGGCCTGGAGTACTTGAACCAGGAACAATATGAAAGGAATAATTCTTGGCCACAAGAATGATTCTCTATCTTAACTAGATATTTTTAGTAAATATTCAAAATAATAAAGGACAAATTGAACAGCATAATGTATGTAAAGAATCAAGTATGGGGGCCAGCAGGTGGTGTAGTGGTTAAGAGCATTGGACTCCCATGTGGCCAACTGCAGTTCAGGTCCCAGACCTGGTGGCTTGCTTTCTCACTCTCTCTCTCTCATTCTATCCCTGTCTGGTCAAATTAAAATAAATAAATAAATGGATAAATAAAGTTAAATAAAATAATTATTAAAAATAACAAAAGATCAAGTATGATGGGGCCAGCCAGTGGTATGATGGTTGGGGTGGCTGGATCCCACATAGCCAGCTATGTGATCCAAGTCCCAGACCCAGTGGCCTGGGGAACATATTCAGAGGCTGGTAAAGGTGCCAAATGTTCCTCCAGCTCAGGAGGACAAAGACTGAGCAACATAGTGATCGACAGCTTTGATTGTCAAGGCTGCAAAGTGCTGCTTTGTGGTCACAAACTCATTTGTGCCCCTGAATTCCAAGGTAACAGCTACATGAGTCATCAGATAAAGAGGCGGTAGAATTCTTCAGATGGTGTTTCAGAGGGTGTAGGGCTATGGAGGTGGTTGTACAATAGATGTCAAAAACAAAGCGATCAAACTGAATCCATGGGTTTGATCTTGGACTAGAAGGTCACTAGTCAGACATACAGACTGCTCTCAAATGTGACAGTGCATTGCAGTAAAGGAGACAAATGTGTCGTTTCACTCTTTGGTGGCATGCCACTAGGTCTCAGGTCTTCCTTGATTGGGTGTGACTATATTAAGTATGTCAATACCAACATGGAAGTTGCATGCCATAACATCCTTACTTTTTTTTTTCCAATGTAAGTGTAATTTCTGTCTATTGAAACACCAGGAAAATAGGACTGTGATCAAATTGGGGCCCAATTTCACATTCAGAAATGGTTTATCTTGCAAGCCAGAAACACTCTTGGATCATGACAGGGATTTGAAGAATTTAGTCTTTTTCTTTTTGGATGAGTGATTCTCTTACTGGTAAGAAAAGAATGTTTATGCATTTTCTCATAAACCTAGAAATCAGTGGGAAATATTCACCCAAACTGCCTTTATTTGTTTTTGAAGCAGATGTAGCCTTAGGAAAAAACTCATGAAAGCTCAGATGTCTCAAGGACAGAGAAGCCCTTGTGGGACAGAAAAGTGTCTGGTGGACCTAGTCTCTCTGTAACCCCACCCAAAACCTCCCCAGTAACTTTGCCGCAGTGCATCCCTTTGTCCTGAAGTGCCTTATTGGATGCCACCTATTGGTTTCTGCCATGTACCTATGTCCTGTAGGAATTGGGTGTACAATCTTAAATCAAGAATTGCAGTGTTTGTGGGTGCTGCTGTGAGCATCATCCTTGTTCTCAGGGTATATGGAAAGAGTTGGTAGAGTAAAAAATAGCTCTTTCATTATCATTTAAGTTTTTTTCTTCCACCTGGACCCATGAGAGTCTTATAGTCAAGTAGTTCCTGTCTGTGTGTGTGAGACCCTAGGAGGGTGTCCTGGACTGCCAGCCCTTCTAATGGGGCCTTTCACGGTGGGCACTGCTGTTACCCTAGTGGGCTGCAGCTGTGGACCCTTATGACGATGTCACCTAGAGGTCATAGAGACTGGTCATGATGTGTGCTACTACTCTCCAGCATGGGAATAACTTGTCACATATGAGCAAATAGACCTTTTGTTCTGGGCTAGGTAGAGGTGGAACTCCAGAAATTTCCTTAAATTTTTTTCTTATATGTTATTCATAATAGCACATATGTACATACTAGAGAGGAAGGGGGAGAGAAAGAGACAGAAAACACCTCTGACTGGGTCTCATCACACCGTGGTCCCCTTTCCCCAGATCTCCAACTCCTCGTTATCTTACTGTGCACACACACACCCAGCCTGCCAACGGGGCCAGGGATTTAAACCAGTGGGCGTGCGGCTTTCAGCACTATAGCTGTATGCTACTGACTATGCCACCAGACCAGGGCTCCTTTTTTATTTTTTTCCAAAGTTTTATTTATCTGTTCTTTGAAAGAAAGAGACACAAGAGGATCTTCACACCACAATCCCTCCCAAGGCTCAGATATCCAGGATAACAGGTGCACGCTCACCCTGCATATACAGAGAGACCTTGAGACCTTCCCGTGAGAGTCTAGTTCTGTTACCCTTGAACTACTGTTTGGTCCCAGGAATTTCCTTTTGAGCCCAGGGTCACTGAGGATTTTCTAGTTTGAAGCCTAGCTCATACTTCAATTTTATAGTTGTCCAAAGAACAACTACTCTGACCTTGACCCTCATCAGCTACGACCTAGTAAGAGAGAAAGGATAAAAAAGTCTAGAAGAGCCTTCATTTTTTTCTTGATTTTCTTAAAACTTAGTATTTACACTACCTGCTACTAACTTAGGGTCTAGTATCTGAATGTACACGATGGAGTATCTTATGCTTGGTATGTAATATTTTAGTATCAGTTGTATCTTTTATATCTTCCTGAAACCATCTTGGTCTTGAATGAAAACTTCTGACTCTGAAACCTGAATGACTATTTCCTCAAGGTGCTAGAAACCATACAATAGGGAGATCATCGTGGCACACGTGGAGATTTACTTTTAGTGATCCTTATTTGTGTTCACATGACACAACCAAGATAACATGTGATACCCATGAGTGATACAGTGACAGGCATAAATATAATTGTGTTAGTGATGTGTAAATAAATTACATTGGTCCTTTGTAATGATTTATAGTGTCAGAAAGTGATATAACCACAGGAATTTCATGCCACCACCACCCCGCCCTGATGTAGTACATATAAATTAACTCCCATATATGTGGGTATGTAAGTATATATGTAAAATAATTTTAAAAAGCATAAATCGCTAAGTCTAAATGAGTGGCTATGAACTGCGTGGCTATAAATCTATCTTTTTTGGTAAATCACTGTGGTATTACTTAGCAGTGAACATAGTTTTTCACAAGATTTTATTATGCCCTTTAAAGATAGTATCAATATTGGGCAAGCCACATAGCCCAGCAGATTCCACTTGGCCAACTACTGTGGTGTAAATCTCAGCCTGGTGGCTTGAGAAGCACACTAGCATGTGTGTGTGCATACCCAAAATCCTGACAAGACGGAGACATGGAGGGAAAGATTGCGGAGTGACCACACCCCACTGAGTGGTGCTTTGTCTCTCTCTCTCTCTCATGAGCACAGGCACCCTCTCGCAATAATCATAACAAGGACATTATCCATGTTAATTAAATAGATCCATAGTTAAAAAGCATTTTGTGGGAATACTTTCCACATCTTTATTAAACTTGGCAGACATTAAGTTAGTATTTTCATGTTGAATAAACCCCCTCATAAGCACCACAACTTAAAATATAATCTACATATAAAGCACTTTGGTACTCCATGCCAATGTTCTAACTTAACACCGCCGTGAATGCGACAGCATTTAATAAAGTTAATTCTTAAATACGAGGATGACTCTCAACCTGGATTGTGGTTTCTGTGCTTGCTTTTGTTCTATCAGGGCTTCTGGCCAGTCATCAGTCTCTCCATCAGTCTATCAGTAATGACTCTTGGTGTTTAGATAGCACCAGTTAGCACATAATCTACAGAAATGTCAGAATTGAACTCCTGCATACTTCTAACGTCTCTGTGAGAAAGAAGCACACTATACAAGGTGACCCTGAAATTCAATGTAGGGACAGAGTCATCCCAATGGTAGGGTAGAAACCGAGTCAAGACGGCAAGTCCAGTGGCAAGATAACTTTACACAAAGGCTTGGCTGTACCCCAAGTCTAACAGAGGGAGCACCCCACACGGGTGGACAGCCAGCTACCAAAGCACCAAAGCTCTATTTCTGTGTTTTTATCTTTGAAGGGGGGCAGAGATGCCAGGGTTTGGCTCTTTCTGCTTGCCAGGCAGTGTGAGCCAGGAAGAGGAAACTGTGCAGTGAATAGACACTTTTCTATGTCACTCATAAGGCATTAAACATACTGCAACCACCTCCTGTGTCACTGCTCCCGTCTGTCTGCAAACAGGATCGCTTCTGCTGTTTTCCCGACAGCTCTGTCTCTGAAAAGGACAAAGGAGCAGCATACCTTCTGCACCCACCAGAAACCGACGTAACAAACACCTCTGCAACAAGTTAAAAATGACTGATGTAAAAATAGTTTAAATTACTTTGAAACTTTAATTACACATACTATTCCACTCAGCATTTCAGAAATGAAAGCTTGGATTCTCTCGTTTTTTTTGCAGAAAGGCCATAAAGGTGGTTTAGCTAAACCTCGTGTCTTTTCCTATGTACATATCTACACCTGCATCTCTTCTTTAATAGAAGGTATCTTGAGCGCAGTCCCAAACCAACGTGGCTGCACTGGGTTCCAGCACACAAATCTCAGAGAGAAAAACAGTTTCCAAGGGGAAGAAGCAACTGCCACAAAATGGCAGGGAAAGTTGTCCCTAGGTATTTGTTGCTTTTAAGTTCGATTCAGAAATCTAATAATAATTATGAAGAAAGAAAATAAGAGGACCTTGCTCTCACCCAGGCTCCCTCTACCAAACACGCTAGCCTGAAACTCTCTGTAGTCTTAAAGTGCAATTACTGTGGTGAAGTCCTCAGGCCAGGGATCAGGCTGGATGGAGTTCAAAGCAGAAACTTCAAACATGAGCTGTTCGTGACTCAGGGGCTGGGAGGGAGGGAGAGAAGAAAAGGAACGACAGTTCTTGGGCATTCAAGTGATTCAGAAGACTAAATGTCCTCTCTTTTTGTAAAGAAGATCTGTACATTGTAAAGAATCCTGGTTTGGAAAAATAGAATTTTCTAAAAACTTCTATCTGAGGATTTCCCAGTGCGGGAGAGTCCAAAGGCAAACAAGCAGAGCAAACAGCAGGGGATGGGCACTTTTCCCAGAGGCCTGGCCAGACTGGTGGCTGCGACCGTCTTCGGTGAAGTCGTCAGCCCTAGGTGAAGAGGAGGCACACTGGACTAAGGGCATCTGGTAAGACGTGGCCCTTTTCTCTGGTCTGTCTGGACTGGACCCATCGCTGGGCCTCTGGCCGTTGAAGAGCAGATAGCGTCCCCGGGCATCCTGCTCCATCTTGAAGATCTCATACTCTGTGTGAGGTAGTTTTATTCCCAGGGCCACGCAGCCATTGGTGTGGGTCACATCCTGCTGGACGCCCACCTGCCAGGAGCCCTCGGCCCCACACTCGTTCCCGTTGAAGACATTGAGGAGTGAGGCTGTGGCTGCATCCATGGGGGTAACCTTCATGTGGTTCACTGCCAAGGGAAGAGGAGAGCTCTGTGACTCCAAGGCTGTAGACGTGTGTGCAGAAACCCACCAGCAAATGCTGGCCACACACTCTTGACAAGACTTTTATTTTTTTCAAAAAACCATCCTACCTGACGACCCACCAGATGGCAGCAGAAATAAAGGATTCTCAGGCGGGAAAATGTCAGTGAGTTGACTTGAATAGTCGCACCAAATATGAGGGGTCTTCAAAAAGTTCATGACAAATGTGTATTATAAAAAAAGCTACGCAGGGATTTCAATTTTTCTTCACACCAAGATAGACTCCTACTTTCATTCCATTTTTCTGTGAACTTTTTGAAGTCCCCTGGTATATAGCAGGTAAGCCAGAAAACAGAGATGACATTTGAGGTATAAACACTGAGTCCGGACTGCAGTTAATCATGCCTGTGAGTGCGAGACCAAACCATGGCACACGATGTTCCTCAAAAAGGAGTATCTGCTGATGTGGACTCTTTGGGATTGGAAAAATACTGAACAAATGCTGAAATTGTGTTTTTACGAAAAGGTTCTGAGGTTTCTTGAAGTTTTGGTATCAAATACCAACACTTGTTAGCATTTTTACAGATTAAGACAGGCCCAAGAGTCTGGTATCTAAAATAAGTTAGTCTACAAGCAAGAACACATGGATAAATAAGATAAATAAAAATGCCAGCACTTGTAGACTATTGCTTTTAAAAGTCCTCCCAGAGGACCACATTCTGTGAATAACACAATGAGCTTTGGGGTAGAAAGAGATGAAGGCTGTTTTCCCTCAATTATCAAAAGTCCAGTGTTCCTAGAGCAAACTTTCCTTCCTCAAAGGAGGGTTAAGATGCTCTAGGACTTCTCCGGGTTAATAGAACGTTTTATATTAACAGGTCCAAACCATGGAATCCACCCAGGAGGAATCACAGCCAAGACCTATGTCATTCCCCTTTATTGGACATGGTAGGGCTGACACCATCTTACAAAGATGTTCAAACTTTTAAAATAAAAAAAATTCCAGCAGTCACATGGTAGTACAGTGGTGGCATGACTGCACCCACACGGGAAAAGGTTCATGTCCTGGGACCTCCTTGAGCATGCCAGGGATGTGCACATGCTGCTGACCCTGTCTAGCTGAGCCTGTGGATTGCAGTGAGGAGACTGCTAGGGATGCCTATCTCTCTTTCTCTCTTTCTTTCTCATGGAAATAAATAAATAAATATACTTTAAAAAATTCTAGAAAAAGCAACCCCATACTCTCTCCCTTGCTGATATAAGGCAGGTGCACTCAACCCTCTCCTCTGGGTTAGGAGCTCAGCACACAGCCTGTAGCTTCCCAAAGATGTTCCCATCTTCTAGCATGTGACAACCTCTCAAGTGCAGGGCACGCTGAGGTTTGGAAATGGTGACTCTGAGCACCTGTGGCGTTGCTAATATCTCCTCTTTCTTGCCCACCTAAGAAAGTGCTCTGGCACATAAGAATCATGTTATCAAAGGGACAGCTCAGAATTATTTGGAACACAGATTTGACACTTCACATGCAGTGCCATCCTCCCTGGGCCGCACCCGGCCCCTGCCTCCCAGAGGCCTGTGTTCCATCAGTGCCCGAACTAATGGGCCAAGCCCACTCACCAGGGCTCATTTAGAAAACGGTGGAGCTCAGGGGGCATTAAGAAAGACTTCCTGGAGGCTTCCTGATAAAACTCCCTGATTTCTTCCCAACAGTTCAAGCAGAAAAGAGACCTTTTCCCTCAGCCATGGCTTCATCAAAAGAAACCACTCCAGACTATTCTGTGAGGACTGGGGGAAGAAGTCCTACCTTTGAACACAAACTCTGTGCCCCCCATGACCTTGGAGGAGAGCACACCGCGGCTGTAGCGACCCCGGGCGTAGATGGTGAAGGTGGGGTGTTTGCAGACAGGGTCTGAGTAGTGGTAGTAGTGCCCCTCCCAGGTGTTGTTGTTGTCGTGGAAGATGAAGTGGCGGGTGAGGAAGAGGACTTCGGGGCGCACCTCACAGCGCTGGCTCACCCACTCCCCATGCAGGCCGATGGTCAGGTCCGCCTTTGGGGGCAGAATGGGCGGGCGGTGTTCATCCGATCGGTAGATGATCCGACAGGCTATGCAGGCATGGTCGTGGTTCTGAAGCCAAGAAACACATACACTTAGAGACCTCTGTCCTCCCAAAAGCAGTGTACATGCGCTCCCTTACAAGTGGGATCTTCCCATAGTTATAATCTTGCAAGGCACCAGGTCACCATCATTCATAATCTGAACTCCCAAGAAGAAACGGGAGCCATGCCTGGTACAGACCAAGCAGTGAGGTGTGCCTGTGTGTGTCATGTTGTGTACGCACAACTGCACGCCTGCGTTTACCTGACAGTACAGACCCACCTAAACAATCAGGTGTGACATGGACTCTTGAGACCCCTACTGTCTTCAGATTACATGTGCTAGACACTTGAGTTCAAAAAGAAAAATGATAGCACCTCAGATTAGGAGAGTTACCTCATGTTAGGATGGCTACTATTAAAAAAAAAAAAGAATGTTGAGACAGATGTGGAGAAATGCACCCCCTTGTGCCATACTGTGGGAATAAAAACAGGTGCAGCTACTGTAGAAAAATTATGACAGTTCTTCAAAAATTAAAGATACAATTACCATATATCCAGCTCTTCCACTGCTGGGCATACACCCGAAAGAACTGAAAACCAGAACTGGGACAGGTAATTACCCACCAAAGGTCATACTAGTATTATGCACAGAAGCCAAAAGTTGGAAGGGCCCACTGACAGATGAATGGATCAGTAAAATCAGCCTTGAAAAGGAAAGGACGGTGGCAGCCAGGGGCTGAGGAGCCATGTGGAGGAGGTAGAGTTTAACGGTGCAGAGTTTCAGTTGGGATGGTGAAGAATTCTGAGGACGGTGGTGATGGCTGCACAGTAACCTGAGTATACTTAATGCTAACGAGCCGTGCACTTAAAATGGTTAAGATGGTATTTTTTAAGAAACCACAATAAAACTAAAGGAACTACTTTAGAAATTTGGCAAGACCAATACCTAAGAGCCAGACTCCTCCCACACCCTACATCCCACTCTAAATTCTCACAGACCCAAATGATGGAAAATAAGCTCCCCTCAACACCAGCTGACCACTTTTCTCTGCTACTGAACACCACCTCTTCAGCCAGGATCACTCTCCTAAGGTGATGACAGTTCAGCCACATCCTCATCTTGAGCCTCAGGACCCCTGCCCTGCTGTTCTTAAAGAAGAGCATGACGTTGGTACCACCTCATGCTCTAACTCTGGGAGCAGTCCCATTCTGAAACAGACAGGCTGGTGGCTGTGACCTCTTCCCCCCTCCTTTTCTGAGCCAAAGAGCAATTGATCCCCAACATATTCCAGCAGCATCTCTTACAAGAACACAGAACCTTACTCCCCTCCTACCTACCCGCATCTAACTAAGCTTGCTAGACTCTTCCTCAACTGATACCTCAACACATCTTTTTGGGGATCCAAACTCCCACCTTCTTACAATGGCCAGAAATGAAACAGACACAGTTAATTTTCTTTTACCCTCATAGGGCATGTGCGCTTGCCAGAGAGAGACAGGGAGAAGGAAAGTGAGAAATCACCCCCCAGGGGCAGTGGCCACACCACAATTCCTTTTTCATTCTCCTCTTGAGATTTTGAGCATTCATGTGCATGTGTAGGGAGTCATTTTCAAGTCACCAGGTCCAGGACTCTAACTGCAATTGATAGGACTAGAACCACTGTGGGAATCCAGTGCCTTAACCACCACAACACCTGCTGGTCCCCACAATCAATGTTTTTAAATTCCCAAACTACAGATAGCAAAAGTTGTGGGGAATGGGACAGAGGAGATGGAGTTTGAGGTTGTATAAGGAAACAGGTCACCACTGAGGCCTTGTGGAATCTGTTTGGGAGCAGGTGGCATGGCCGGCAGGCATCCCTGCAGCCAAGGAGTCGCATGTGGAAGTGGCATGGAACTAGTTCCTCGGGTAATTTGAAGATTTGCTGCCCTGACCAAAGAAGAGATCCGAGTGGCTCCTCTCTTTGCAGAACATGCCCACCAGGAGGGAGTACTGGCCAAGGGGCCTGGCCAGGGGTGGGGTCCTGCAAGCTTCAGTGTCTCTGTTAGCAGGCATCGGCACCAGGATAACACTATCCCGTTTGTGAAATCCTAGAGAGCTGAATCCGAGTCTTCCGCTGCTGTTCTTTGGTCTGAGCGCGTGTGCTGCAGGGGTCCAGGAGCCAGGAGAGTAGGCAAGGGTGTTGGTGATGATGTCCTGAACTAACGGAGCAGCTGTGTGCAGAGCCTGCACTGGGCTTGTTACAGACATGCACCATTCCATCCTGGACTCCTGAATATCAGAACCCCCTTCTAGGGTGAAACATCTGGAACCTTTGCCTCAGAGTAGTTTACTAAGGAAACAACAGCAAAGATACTGAACTTGCTGATGCACTCTTTTGACTCAATTTGTATTTTATTCACCCTCACGTGCATGTGGAAGACAGTAGGAGACAGGTAATTTACTTAGTTGTGATACCAAGTGGGTGCACTGGGTGGAACCACCTTACTCTACCACTCACTTCTTGCAGCCGTTATGCAAGTTGAGTATAATGATGACCATTGTATAAAGGAGGAAGCTGAAACTAAGAAATGGAAACATGGCCAAGGTCACCAGCTGTGAAGTGGCGTGGGTCTGGCCCACAGCCCTCAGGACCTGGCCGGAGCCGTCTCTTTCTGTGCTGCAATTAAGCCCCACCCTAAGGAGCCAAGTACAGGGTACAGGTATTCTTCCTGCTCTGCTTCCTGCTGTAGCTTGCAGAGAGCAGTTTGCTGCTGACCATAGGCTACAGGGGGAATTTCTCCCCTGTGCCCTCACAGGTCACCCACAGGGAGGTGTAGGTTAACAAATGCACCAAGCCCAGAAACAGCAAAAACCTGGCCTTCATCTCACTGCTGCAGCCATTCAGTCTCATCATCTGTAAGTCACAAACGTGTCAGCAAAGGAAACCATCTCTCTCATAAACTGCGACCTTATGCTCTTCTAACGAGCACAGCCACACACGTGAGCAGCACAGAGTTCTCCAGGAAAAGCCCGGGGGATGGGAGCTGGGAAGCCTCTCCTGCTACCCTCACCCACCCTCTCCAAGGAAGCTGAACATCTAGCCAAACAGCAATCACGACAAAATCACAGCAAGATATGTGAGAGAGATGTGTAAACCAAAAGCCTATGGCAATGGAGATCTCCCATTGTAGGTAACAAATGCTGCAGCAACCACCCTGGGCCTGGGAGTGGAAAGGACAGCATTCCAATGGCTATGGATGAAGGGGAGTCATCTAATTAAGATGGGGTGGCCTCAGACCCTGTGCTCCCTGATTCCCCACCTGAGCTCCAACCCTCCCCTCCCACCATAGCTCTGATCGGATTGGCAGTGCCACATCTGCTTTGCACTCCCATTTGGGAGAACAGCAGGGCAATCCTGAGTTCAAGGTGGGACAGCTCCTGACTCAGAGGTGTCCTGTGACTCTTGTGTTCAAGAGCCCAGCCTCTGACATCCAGACTTACTCTTGCTGGGTCAGCTCGAAGCCCTGCAGGCAAACTGTGGACACCCTGACATCCCTGGACTGTGTAAACTCTCAATGGAAGCCTTTCTACCCTCAACCTAGCCAGCTCTTGTCTCTGGGTATGCCAGTGTTACAGAACACGTCAGCAAGAGAGGATGTCCTGGCAGACAGCTGGAGCTATCTCGCACCGAGCAAACTGCTGAAAGCTAGGAAAGCAGTTGAAACCTTCCAAGGCCCAAGCAGGAACACAAATAGGAGGTAGGTGTGCACACTGCCTTGAGGCTCTGGCTCTCAACCTCTTTCAGGCCACCCTGCCTTGATTAGACAACTCCCCTTTATCCACAGTCATTGGAATTCTGTTCCTTCCTTCTTTCTTTCGTAATAAAATATATACAGTATAAAATTTACCACTTTAACAATTGTAATAAAATATATACAATATAAAATTTACCACCTTAACAATTTTTAAGCGTATAGTCCAGTAGCATGAAGTACATTCACAGTTATCTAGCCATCATCATCCATCTGAGCTGAAATTCTGCATCCATTAAACACCAACTCCTCACTCGCCTTCCTCACAGTCACTGGAAAATACCATTCCATTTGCTGTCTTTCTGAATTTGACTGCTCTAGATACCTCTTGGAAATGGAATCATACAGCATTTTTCCTAGATTGTGACTGGCTTATTTCACTCAGCATAAGGTCCTCAGGGTTCATTCACGTTGTAGTTTGTTTCAAAATTTCCTTCTTCTATAATGTGGAATCATTTTCCACTGTATGTCTACACCACCTTTCATTCATTTATCTGTTGATAGACTCTTAGGTTGTTTCTACCTTCTGGCTACTCTGAGTAATGCTGGCAAGACCGTGGGTGTACAAATATGTTCCAACCCCCATTTCAGTTCTTTTGGGTATATACTCAGAAGTGGAATAGCTGAATTGTATGATAATCTGATGTCTAATTTTTCTAAGGAACCACCAAACTGCATCTGCTCATTTTATATTCCCACCAACAATGCACAAAGGTTCTCATTTCTCCACAAGCTTCCTAGCACTTGGAATTTTTAATTTTGTCTTGCTTTGTTTGGATAACAGTCATCCTAATAGGTAATTTGGTAATTCACTATGGTTTTAATTTATATTTCATAATGACTGGTGATGTTGAGTAACTCTTTTTTATATACTTACTAGACATGCAAATGTGTATCTGTAGAGAAATTTAAGCCCTTTGCTAATATTTTAATTTTGTTGTTGTTTTGTTACTAGTTTGTCGACTAGTAAGAGTTAACTCTTCCTAGTCAACTAGCAGAGGTCAACTAGTTACTCTTTGAAAAGACTCTTTAGGCATCATTAATAAACCAAAGATGTCATAAACAAAAGTTATCTTTTTGGCCCCTCTGTGGAAATTATGAACAAGGGGACTGCTTTGTAGATAGGTTTAAAATATATCATTTGTACTTTAATTCTCATAACATTTGGCTTACATGAAAGAAACCAAACCATAGAGGAATAACTATGGAGAAATAGAAATTGGAAGGCTATAT